GATGTCTTAACACTGCTATCAAAGACACCTTTTTGGGCATTAATAGAAGCATATATCCAGAGAAGGTTAACAAAGGTAGAGTGCATGAAGTCTAACTACGACATTGTGAGACTCATACAAGTTTATGACACAAAGACAAAGAAGTTCAAGTTTAATGATGTTGACAGCGAGATGAAAAGCAATGATGTGGCTGAAATTTTTGGCTTGCCAAACAGTGGCAAGAAGTTACCAAGCACAACAACCTCAACAAGGCCAAAATTGCAGTTTGTAGAGAAATACTTCGCGCGGTATAAGAAGATAACAAAGACTTCAATTGATAAGTGCTTGAATTTAGCACTTGAAGATGAAACAGAAGAGGGTGCTATGGATGTAACAAGATTGATAATCCTACAACTCTTCATGACCAATCTATTCTGCAACTCTGGTTGTACACTTGCTTGGACATATACAACCACAATAGACACCTTAGAAGAGATGGGGAAATATAATTGGGCTCGAGGAGTTTTGGACTACATGTATTTTGGATTAGAACAAGCAAAGAAGAACAAGAAGGACAAAAAAAAAGCAGCCAAGTGTGAGTGGCTGCCTAATCCTAATACTGGTAAGAACACAAATCTCCAAATTGCAAATTCGTAGCATTATTCTAATGATATGAATTGACACGTGATATTTCAAAAAAATATTGTGCAGTATTGGCTGTGTCAAAGATCTAACCTGCTCACTCCAATTCCTGGAAGAGAACAAATGACACCAGCTGCTGTCAAATGGAGTCTTCAAGAACTCAGCGCGAAGCTTCATCATCTAAAGAACAACCAGATAAAGGTACTCTTTCCTTTCAAATAATCTGCAGCTGATATGACAACATTGTTAATACCATGTCATGTACATACTTGTTAATACCATGTCATAGAAGTAAACTATGAATACCATGTCACAGAGGTAAACTATGAATACCATTTCATAGAAGTACACTATTAAAACCATGTCATAGAATTACACTCTTAATACCATGTCATAGAAGTGCACTCTTAATACTAACTCTACTCAACAAACAGATAAAAAGCACTAAAGCTCAAGAGCCAGATGATGATTCTGAAGAAGAGAATGAAGAGAATGATGATGATTCTGAAGAAGAGAATGAAGAG